TATATATATATATATATATATATATATATACATACATAAATATAAAAATTAAAGTTAAGTTTTGATGGAAGCTTCCAGTGGAAGAGATTGAGGTTCTTCAACTAGCTCCATCTTCATTGTCCAATATTCTCTTGAGGTTCAACTTATTCACAGAAGCAAGGTTCAAACTCTTGGAGTTTGAAGAAACAAATTCAATGGCATGGCAATCTTCTTGAAGAAGAAGAATAAGTGATGAACCAAGGTACAAAGGAAGGATTTCTTTGTGAAGGTTCTTAAGGAAAGAGCTTTCTCCATGGTTTTGGGACCTTTGAGAGAGATAAAAATTATGAAAATTCAATCTCACCAAAAGTGATTACAAAGCCAAGAGAAATACTTATATAGAGTAAGGAAACTTGTAGTGCAAGCTAGACTAACTATGGTTCAAGAGAACCATGGTTAGTCAAGCTTGACCGGCCTAGATAGTTTAGGAGGCTTGTGGAGCAAGCTCCTAACTTAGAAGCTTGGGAAGCAAGCTAAATTAGAATCTTGTAGCACAAGTTTCCCAAGTGTGTAGGAGAAGCTATGCAATTTCAGTCAGGGAGAAGTGCTAGGAGGCCAAGGCTTATTTTCCAACATTTAAACCAATCCAAAATCTTGGAATTGGTTTAGTTAGGTTCACCAAGTGATGGTGAGACCTAGCTAAATCAATTCCTTGGGAAAAAAATGGAGGAAAACAAGTTCAATATGTAAAATTTAGTCTAGACCCACTTCTGACCTAATTACTAGTTGCACCTACATATCTTACTATTTGTCACCCTACTTCTACTACTAAAAATATGAAAATAAGTGACCCTTAATACAAGGTAAAATGGAACAAAAGTCTCCAAGTAACATACCCTAAATAATCAAAGGAAAATCCTAAAACAAAAGAAAGAGAGTGTCCCACAAATACAAAGGCAAAATGAACTTATACAAAGAACTACTATGTACAAAAGAGCTAGACAATCTCTTCAAGATGTGATGGTCCAAATGAAGAGTAGCTTTAGCTTAGAAAGCCCACTAGCCTCCAAGGTAGCCAATCATTCTTGTATGCTCCTAGTCATAACTCGAGTAATTGAGCCTTTAGCCCATGGTCCATCAAGTTTTTAATTTTTATAAATATTGAAATATAAATTAGTTATTTTAATAATTAAATAATTTAAATTATAACAATAGCTAAGTAACAAACTTAAAATTATACGTTTAATCAAAAGCTACATGTGAATATCATATACAAAAGTGACCTACAAGGGAAAGAAAATAAAAAAAAAATAAAACAAATAAATGGTATGGGATGTAAAAAAAAATACTTCCTTCCTTAGCAACACATGTCAACATTTCATTGGAGCATATAAAAGTTATAACACGTGTCGACATCTTGTAGAATCACAATGCGACAACATGCATATGTCGCTTTACAAGATGGTGGCATTTGCACACATTCATTTGATGCAACATTGAATAGCAAGACATGCATTGAATGACTAAATACATTTGGCACTATACAAGACAACGATAGTCATAGCAACTAAACCACACCTGCGAGTTTTCCCCAACTTGAAAAATCGGGTTTGGGTATGCAAATCCCCACCCCATTACATTCTTTTGCAACAATATATATATATATATATATATATATATATATATATAAATTAAAGTTAAGTTTTTAATTTTTATAAATATTGAAATATAAATTAGTTATTTTAATAATTAAATAATTTAAATTATAACAATAGCTAAGTAACAAACTTAAAATTATACTAATAACTAAGTAACATGACTTAAAATTATACGAATAATTAAAAGATACGTGTGAATATCATATACAAAAGTGACCTACAAGGAAAAGAAAATGAAAAAAATAAAACATACAAATGGTGGTGTGGGAAGTAAAAAAATACTCCCTTCCTTAGCAACACGTGTCAACACTTCATTGGAGCACATAAAAATTATGACATGTGTCGACATCTCATAAAACCACAATGCGGCAACATGCATATGTCGCTTTACAAGATGGTACCATTTGCACACATTCATTTGACGCAACATTGAATAGCAAGACATGCATTGGAAGACTAAATACAATTGGCGTCGTATGAGACAACATTAGGCATAACAACTAAACTCACACCTACAGATTTTTCCCAACTTTTTTTCCCAACTTGAAAAATCTAGTTCGGGTATATAACTCCCCGCCCCACTACATTTTTTTTTGCAACAATAAATATATATATATATATATATATATATATATATATACACATAAATAAATAAGAAGATTAAAGTTTTTTTAATTTTTATAAATATTGAAATATAAATTAGTTATTTTAATAAATAATTGAAATTATAACAATAACTAAATAACAAACTTAAAATTATACGTTTAATTAAAAATATAATTTAATTCTTAAATTTTCTATTTATTAGTTATTATTTATTATTTGTATATAAATAATATAATTATTAACTTACTATTTCATTTATTTAAAATGTACAAGTAAATTAAAAAAAAAATTTAAAAAAATATGATCAGTTCCCATGCATTTATCCGAACCCAACAAAATCCAATAGAGATGAGGACGGGGAATGAATTTTAAAAATATAAATCTATTTTTTAAAAGCCAAACCCGCCCTACATTTTATAAGGGTGAAGACGAAGAGTCGGAGAAAGCAATATTTACCCCCAACCAACCTCTTTGTCATTCCTAAAATGCATGAGTAGTTTTTTTTTCATCGTTGTACCATGTAATTGCACATGAAGCACATGCTAACATTTTAATTAAGTAATTTTTTATTAATATAATTTATAGTAAGTAAAAAAAATATTAATTTTAATAAATATGTAATAATTTGTTAAATTATAAATATTTTATAATAAATTATTTGTTTTAAATTACAATATTAATTTAATTAGCATATTCATTTATTTTTGTTTAAAATTATTTAATTATTTCAAATTTAATTATAAATATAATTTATTAATTTTTAGTAAATAAAAAATCTATAATCATATGTATAATAACCAATTTAAATAAAACTAAAAAATGCTAATATATCTAATATATAAAACATTATTTATTATTAAAAAAAATGTTAACATTATGAATTATATAATTTAGTTGATGATGATTTAGTTGATGAATCATCATCGTACATACCTTCATGTAAACTAATAATAATTTCGTGTAGATTTTGTGGTTGATACAAACATCACAAAAATTTCTTTTGTAATTCACTCGATCTTAGCATATAATATAATTAAACTTGTTTTATAAAATTCTCTATATATAGAAAACATGTAATTTACATTATTATCGTTCATGAGTTGAAGAGAATCATAATCAACACAATCATCTTCTCAACAATAAATTGGATGATAATAAAGTTCTTTTATATTGCTAACACATCTTATTCCGATGACCTCTTCTTTCTTCAACTTGTGTAAATTAATGTCTTCATCAATCTTAAATAACTTAGGAATATCACATTTATATATAATTCCTTTAGAACTACTTGTAATTTTTCCTTTGTAAAAATAGTTGAGAGTATAGAACTCATTTTATTTTTTATATAGGAAACAAACTACGTTTCAATTTGATCACACTAGCAACCAAGATTCAAACATGTATGCACCATATACATGGGAAATAAATAAATTTTAAAAAATAATGATAGTGTCCCTCTTTTGTGGACTATGGCAATACAATTGAGGATAGTGTCACCAAAAAAAAACGTGGTTCCTCTATTGGGTATAATGTTACTGAAAAAAAAAAAAAAAAGTAGTCCCTTTAGGGATAGTGTCACTAGAACAAATAAAAGGAATATATCCTCCACTTTAGAGTAACGATACTTGTAAATTACATAAAACAATTGATGCTAAAACTGGATGCGCCAAAGGTGATCCTGCAGACGACTCTAACTTCAATAATATGACAAACATAACAGGTAAAAGAAAGATACAAGAGCCAAAATTAAAGTTACAATAAAACAACATTCTGCACCTTTCTCACTTTCTTCCGTATCCACATCATACAGGTAAAAGAAAGATACAAGAACCAAAATTAAAGTGATGACCCCGTGTGCAAAAATGAGAATGATGAAACTAAACTAACTATGAGAAACTAAAACAGAACAAAGTATAGGTCAGGGACCAAAAGAAAATAACTTGAATGAACAAAAATAGTGCCTACGGGGGATACCAAACCAATGTTTTACACTATATTTCATTTACACAATGTGTTCATTATATTTGCGTTCTCAAGAGTTGTTTGTGTGTTATTTAGTAATGATCTCCCCCATAAACGGAATAGTCTACGCTAAAGATTACAATACACACGTGCTATGCAAGAACCTGCTCTATTCTATCAACAACAAGATGATGATGATGGATGCACTTCTGGCTTCTTCTCTTCTTCCATGTCATCTGCAATGTCCCTGCAGCAAAGAGAGTATATTTCCACTTTCAAAAAAAGTAGACAAATGATTATTAAATTCACTTTATACGACTAATAAGAAACTTGTCTAATAGTACAGTTAGTATAGTAAGCTTTATTATGTAGACAAAACTTCGATTTAAACCGACTCTAGAATATTTATCAAGCTAGATGGAGTCACAAAGGTCGCGGTCTCAATTACAAACCAACAATTTATCAACTGAAAAGAGGGACTTGTAAACTAAACGGATTTATCGGCTCCGAGACAAGATATTTGTTACCTCGAATGGGCAGTGATGTTTGAGCACCCGGAAATGGCCTTTAAATCTTCATCGGGATCTGAATCATAATCTTCACCATCCCATTTACGAAGTTTAGGTCTTCTATCCATGTCCTCTTCCGCCTGAATACATAATAAAATCAAACAAAAAGAAGCGAATAGCAGAGGGACAGTAACTGCAACTGTTACCAAGTACTGACCTCTTCTGGAACTTCTAAGGTAGGTGGTGTTGTCTGAAAAGGTACACTGGGAGCATGGGGAAGTCGGGAAATCTGTTCTAGTAATGTGTTCCTTGAAATTTAATGGGGGCAAAAAAGCAATATAAGTCACAGCTTAATCCAGGGAAATGTTAGAAATCTCTGAATATTTTATACATGAGACATGGGAAATTTAAATTCTGACAAAGTTCAGTCCTAGGCTGATCCTACTGGCTTCTGCCACAAACAGAGGCACAACTTCCATGATAACCTTACTAAACATTTTCTATCTAGACAACACAATTTGTCTTCACAACCATATGAAAATAACAACTCAGATATAAAATATAGCTTGTCTATGCAACTACTTGTAAGTTTCTGAAATATCACCAATTGTAGAAAGGATGTGCACGGATGCAGCAAAATGTAAAGCATTTAAAGTTAAGGCCGATATATTTTTTTTCCTCATAAGTTGTAATTAAGAGGAATAAAAAAATTAAATAAGAATTATTAATTATAACTCAACCAAGATGAAATTAATAGTAGAAACACCTTATTTTTTCCATATCCTTGGGTGTATTTAGGTTCTCCATGTTGCTTGGATCGACGTAGAGAGTATAATCTGGACCAAAATATTCATAATATTCATTATAAGGCAACTTATTATCAGGCTCCACTCCTACTGCCACTGCTGTCTAAAACAAAGAAAAAGCATGTAACCGAATAAGTAAATTAAACAAGTACCGAGTCACATTATAATCTGGCCCAAAAGGAGAAAGAAACAGACCTCGTAACACCAACAACGGGCAACATTCCGAATTGTATATCCACCCCCACCCAAGACCATTAAAGGAACATTGAAAGATCTAAGGAAACGAAGGCAATCTGCATGACCTTTCACAGACAAGTTGAAGCAACCCAACCTGTCCCCAGACAATGAATCTGCTCCACATTGAAGAACAACTGCTTCAGGTTGATAAACCTCCATGACTTTTTGAATGATGGCTCGAAACAGACCCCTGAAACTCTCATCATCCAACCCATCATTTAAAGGGACATTGACAGCATAATTCTTTCCTGAGCCCAGCCCAATGTCTTTGATGTGTCCCGTGCCAGGGAAAAAGTCCCCAAACTTATGGAAAGACACTGTCATCACTCTATCAGTGGTGTAAAAGGCCTCCTCAACACCATCACCATGGTGAACATCAATGTCAACATACAACACACGCTGAGGAGCAACACGGAACAGATAGTGAGGAAATAATTTCAGCAAAGGTAGAAAAGAAAATATGCTATCTAAATAACAAAAACAATAACTCATATTACAAACAACAAGTTTCTGCAGTGTATAAGTACAAAAATTAATTTTGAATTAGATTAAATATGCTTTTAGTCCTCTTGTCGAGGAACTAAAAGTGAAAATTGAGAAAATTTCAGAGGCTAAAACATATTTAATAAAATACAATTTTACACAGAGAAGAGGTATGAAAATTTGAAAAGACAAGTGTGCATTGTTGAAGAACATGAAACCAAAAAAGGAGAACTGGCAAGGAAGAATCCAATCTTAACTCTGAACAACATGTGTAACAATCATGAAGTTACAGCTTAACAATAAATTACACCATCAAATTATTTGTTTTTTTACTAAGCAGTTGGCATGGTAGCTGTGGAATCAAAATCAGAATGGAAAGGGCATTCATTTCTGCTCTACTGTTTGGCGATTAGGAATGAACTACAGAGCTGCATTTCCTTTAAAAACGGTAGAGTCGAATAAAGGGGTGAAAGCAATAAAAAGAAGGTTGAAAGAGTTACACGGTGAAGTTTGAGAAGTTCGAGGATGCCGAGGACAATGTCGTTGACGTAACAGAAGCCAGAGGCCTCAGACTTCTTGGCGTGGTGAAGACCGCCAGCCCAATTGATGGCGATGTCGGCGTCTTGGCGGTTGAGTTTGACGGCGGCGCCGATGGATCCGCCGGCGGAGGCCTGGCAGAAGTCGAAGAGGCCGTCGAAGACAGGGCAGTCCTCGCCGACGTTGAAGCGCTTGAGGTGGCGGGAGTCGGAGAGGGTCTCGGGGGAGACGGAGGAGAGGAAGCGGACGTAGTCGTCGGAGTGGAAGCCGCGAATGTCGGCGGGGGAGGCGGGGAAGGGGCGGTTAATCTCCATGCGGCGGTGGAGGGAGTAGTGGACGATGAGGTTGTGCGCCATGCGGATGCGGTGGGGCTTCATTGGGTGCCCCTGGCCGTAGTAGTAATCGCCGATGCTTGGCTCGTAGAAGTATGTCACTCTTCGCTTCTTCCCATCTAAGCCTGCTGATGGCAGCGAGGCACCACCTTCTTCTATGCCACTCTCCTCCTCTTTCATACCCATGCGATGCGATCCCATTATAAATGTATAAACCTCTCTCTCTCTTTTTCGCTACTTGTACACTACCAGATCCAAATTTCAATACCCAAACCAAACCCTCTTCCGCCTCGCTTTCTCTCTACTCTCTACTCTCTACTCTCTACAATTCAATTCAACCCCTTTCTTTCCTTTCTTCACCATGCCGCTAAATCTGTTTTTTATATCCCAAACATCAATTTCTTCTTGTTCTTTTTTTTTTTTAATCCGCAGCATTCGTTTTATAGGTTTTTTATTATGTTGCGGATAAAGAAAAAACATATTATAACAACTCAAATAAGTAAAATATATATTTATAATTATAAATTATTTTATAATTTCAAATATAATAAAAATTAATTTTTAACATAAATATCGCTTCCACAAATTTATTCGACCTTATTTTCTTAAGTTTTTTAATTAGATATTTTAAATACTTTTTTATTTTATTCTTTATAGTTGTATTTCATGTGCTATTTTTGCAATTAGTCTAAAAAAAATCTACATTTATTTTACTTTAAGTTTAATTATAAAATAAATACTAGTATATGCAAAATTATATTTTAGTTTGTTTATTATATACTAAAGAGGTTAACGCATTACATTTATATATATATATATATATATATATGTGTGTGTGTGTGTGTGTGTGTGTGTGTGTGTGTGTGTGTGTGTGTGTGTGTGTGTGTGTGTTT